ATTATTTTAAATATAGATTGTGTATGTATCTAATATTAGCTTGAAATTTTCGAGATGTTTTTGAATATTATATTTCTGAAATTATTGGTTGAACATTAGGAAATAATTTATTTCGCAAATAATTGATTCATTTTCGAAAAATAATTCTTGAGATGATTACAAGAATTTATCCAATAATTTTCATTATAGTGAAAATTGACAATCCATTACTCGGCTGGTTTATTAATCGAAAAAGGGCCAGGTGTTCCGGAAGCAATTGTCAGACGACAATATGAAAGCAAAGGCGTGAGCGGAAAAGACGAGCTGCAAAGGGAGGATGTACGGTGGCAAAAGAAACATTGATTGAGCACAGAGGGTGGCAGGTTGGTGTTGTCGAGGACCGATGAGGCGAATAATCGGATTTAGGGATTACCAACGCTCTTCGTATTGCCTGCAACACTGTTAGCTTAGCATCGTCATCGTTTTCAACCATCATTAACGCGATTAGCGACTGTGTTTTGATAATCAACGATATAACGATGATCGAAATCCTATTTAGAATTAACAATAACGTTAATTTACGTAATTTTTATATTTCTTATATCGCAATACAGGCTATTGTCTTCATCTTTAAACGATGATATTTTACGATTAATAAAAATAAAAAAAAGGAACAATTATATGCAAACGTTATATTAAAAACTTATAAAACATAGATCTGATCTTTTTACATACTCGATAATGATAATCGTTTTTAAAATTTATTCCATGAAAAAAAACTCATATCATTATAACAATCATTAGACTACGATTTTATGTAACGAAATATTCGACTAATACACAGAAAATACTAATTATATATATTAAAATGATATCTCATATTATGCTATAAAAAAAATTATAAAAAAAATAAAAATTTTCTCATCAAAATCTATTCAGAAATTAGAGAAGACCACGCCGTTGAAGCCACTTTTTGTTTTATCCGGATATCTTAATTGATTGCCGAGATATAAGCGTTCAAAGTTTTCATAATGCTCAAGACAGATTATGAATGGGTCCACGACTCGGTGACCTACATTTTTTCCTGGAAATGCGTACTACGTTTTTCCAGGAATCGCGTCTGTCGCTTGTCTGCAGTTTGGGATAGGTCAGTGAGACGAGGTGCGAGCGAGACGAGGCGCGAGCGAGAGATCCGAGTAAGGGAAAAGGACGGAGATAGTAAACGATTAAAAAATTACCGTTTTCTTTAAACGACGATATCTCGGAAACCGGAAGTGGTATCGGGATGAATGAAAGAGCGTTTTAAAGGGCAAACTTCCGCGCTTCTAACGATCGTTCACTCGTTGACCGGAAGTCATCAACTTCGGAATTATAGCGATTCAAATTTTTTCTAATTTTAATAGAGTTAAATAAGACTTGAGGTAAATGATTAAAAATTATCCTTTTCTTTACACGACGATATCTCGGGAACCGGAAGTGGTATCGGGATGAATGAAAGAGCGTTTTAAAGGGCAAACTTCCGCGCTTCTAACGATCGTTCACTCGTTGACCGGAAGTCATCGACTTCGGAATTATAGCGATTCAAATTTTTTCTAATTTTAATAGAGTTAAATAAGACTTGAGGTAAATGATTAAAAATTATCCTTTTCTTTACACGACGATATCTCGGGAACCGGAAGTCGTATCGGGACGAGTGAAAGAGCGTTTTAAAGAGAAAGGTTCCGCGCTTCTAATAGTGTTTCATGCATTGACCAAGAATTACTAACTTCCGAATTATAGCGATTTAAAATTTTTCTAATTTTTAATAGCATTTTATTCGAGTTTTAAAATTAATTATGCGACAGATATGTTTATTTCTGGAAAAATATTATTTATGGAGAATTTTACTAATGATGATACATCGGGGATTTTAAATTAATAATAATAAGTGAAGTATTTAAATTTAATTATGTTGATGTAATTAAGCAATTATTAATTAGATAATTATTAGATTACTTGCAAATAATTATTTATTAAATGTTCCACAAGAAAAATAAATAGTTAATCGAAATTGAAATAATTATTTAAAATAACTTTTTACATAAAAAATATATCATTATATTACAAAAACTAGTTATTCTACGTTAAAATCTTTGACTTCGTAGCGTACGAATTCATTGAAATCATCGGGTGAGTTCGTTGAAATCTCCGCGAACGTTCTCTCTCGAATCGCGCTTTCAATACCATCGTTTACCATTCTCTTCGTAGAAAAAAAATAATCGATATAAATGCTATGCACTCTAGAACGTTCGGTGATAAAATATTCTATTTGTAGTCGACCAACAGCAAACTTTTGATTTATCCTTCTAAGAAGATACGCATAAAATATTTTATATTCGACGAAATGGGCAAAAACAGACAAATTGAGGATAACATAAGAAGTTGTAAAATTATTAATATCCTATTCTACACTACAACAACTAATTAATCTCTCAATAATAAAAATCATCGTTCAATTTAAAAATTATTTCACGTGAGAAAAAGAGATTCATTTTGAAATAATTATATATCCAAACATTATATTTTCAAAATTCTAACTAAGAATAAAATTATTAAAATACTACCAATAATATATTTAACAATAATAATAATAATAATAATAATAATAATAATAACAACAAATAATTAAATATATACCAATCTTTCTTTTTATCCCTAAAAATATTCACAACAATTCCCAACCCCCTTGAACATTGTATCGCACGCAGGGCAAAACAAAAAAATTGATCTTGCTCGGTCGAAAAGATTCGTGCAAAATCAGTTGCCGCGAGGCAAGGTTAAAAATAAAAAGAATCGATCGATACCCTTGTCTCTGAGAAACGCGAGAGCAAGGGTGGAATAACTTTAATGTGGGGCAGGCATGCGATAGGTGGAACAACACACACCCTGGATTAATAAATCTGTGTGCGGGCGACAGGTTGGTAAAGATCGATATCGCGCTACTCCAAAGCGAATATATCGATATTATTTAAGCCTAATTGCCTAGCTATCTATCGATATCTATCTCGCTCGATGTAGAGCGGGATAGGCCGCCACCACTCGTCAGATATCCAGGGGAGTTTCCAGGGGAGGATATATACACGCCAACCCTCCACGAATGCCTCCTGTTCCCCCCCTCCTCCCTCCTCCCCCTGCACGCACCCCAATCGATCTCCCTACCCTCGCTCGGCCGCTCCCTAATATAAATATTATTACAGTTTGATGGGGTTAGGTTGACATTGGGCCCCGCAGACATCCCATCAATGCGTTCTCGCCTCCCTCTTCCGCTCTTTATACCTTCTTTTTCATTAGGCCCGAATTCCTCGAGGCGCGTGCCGCTGCTTTCGTCCGAGGCTTAAGGCGGATGGGGGAACGCTCGGTGTCCACGCTGTGGAAAGTCGTTTAAATATTTCATCGGCGCCCAAAAGTTCTGGGGGCGGGGAAATTACTAGGCGGAGATAATATTGGAATTTTTAAGAAAATTTGGAAAGAGGAAATTGAAATAGAAATTTGAGTTTTCTTGTTTCGAACGAATTTTTATGTATGGTGGTGGAAAATTTTGCGAGGTGGAAATTTAAATAATATTTTTAGCGTGGAAAAAAATTTTCCAATTGAAATTTTTTTGTTATACAAAAAAATGTTTAGTTTATGAAAAAAGAAATTGAAATAATGTTGAAATTTTGAATCGTGAATTTAAATGTTGATATAATAACGTTGGAATTTTTTTATTTTGAAGGAATTTTTGGTTTGGTAGAAAATTTTAACGAGATATAATATTGAAATAATATTGAAATTTTTTAATAAAGCAAAGAAATTTTGAGAAAGAAAATTTTTTTATCGTGCAAAAATTTTTTTTATTTTAAAAGAATTTTTAATCTGGTAGAAAAATTTTGCGAGGTAGAAATTTAAATAATATTGGAATTTTTAGCGTGGAAAAAAATTTTCCAAGATAAAAATTGAAATAATGTTTGAAGTATAAAAGAAAATTTTGAAACAGATAAAAGTGGAAATAATGATTACGTTATTCTTATCACGAAGAAATTTAAAAGCTGAAATAATGTTGAAATTTTCTGTAGTAAGAAATATTTAATGTGAAAGAAAATTTTTAATATTATTAATATTAATTTTAAAATCAATTTTTGAAGTAACATAATATTATTGATTTTAAAATCCATTTTTAAATAATTAAATAACTCGAAGTAATTCATTTTTCATTTTTAATATTATTTATAGTATTTCACGAAAAATTTGGAGATGAATGCAAATGTTTCCTTGTAAAAAAAAAAAAAAAAAAAATTAATAAATGTTAAAATTTCAATACTAGAAATTGTTTAAGATAATTTAATGTAATAATATAATCTGATAAGAGTTAATCGATACGAATTAAGGAACGAGTAATCTCTATCCTTGACATAAATATCGTCGTATAACGAGAATTAAACGAGGATTTTCTTATAATTTATTCATACGTTTCACGACAATCGTTCTGTTCTCCTCTGAAGCTAAATATCAAATCTAAAATTATCGATATCAATAAATATTAATGCAAATATTAATCCTTGCGTACTAAATTTTGCTGCTATTTTATGAATAATATATATATTCATAAAATATCAAATTTTTTAATATTGTCAAATTTCATTCAACGATGAAATTTCCTTTTTTTATATTTTTAATATTATATACACAACGTATATATTCATGAAATTGCTTGAAATATCGAGTACAAGGAGCAAACGTAAAAACATCGATCGAACCTTAAACTTAGAAAAATTTAAGTTTAAACTTAAGACTGGGCAATCTATTTCTATCTCCATCTCTCTTCATCATAAACTCATAAACTAAAATCGTTTGTAACCTGATAGATAAATAAAACCCAACCAACACTTTTTTAACCTCTATCTTTCAAAAATTGATTCCAAAACAGTAACTTAATCCTCCTACAACACAATATCACAAAGCATTAATGAAGAAAACGAGAACTACTTTCTATTAATTCTCTCTTTTTTTTTTTTTTTTTTTTTTTATTCAATCAACAACTGCTCTCGCTGCGAATATTAACCGCAACATTATCGACGGTACATGGATCAACGCAATCAACAAATCATTCAGAAACATGATGAAACGATCGCTACGGGGATTAATTAATTAAAAATGGTCATTGACGTGTCAAAGAGCACAACTCGTGATATTCTTCGGTAACAATGACATCTTTAATAACCGGTTCAACAACATTACAGGTATCATCATAGATTTTCAAATAAACCGCGCATACTCGATACTTGATTCCTTGAAATATACATACATACATACATACGTTTTCGTCCGTGCGCGCGTGTGCGTATTCCATTTCCCTTCGTGAGCGTTCACCGTTTTCCAACTTTCGCTTCGTTCTTATTTATACTCGTTACTTTTTTATCGTATATACTTGGATACTTGTACTGTGTACTCGTTAATGTGTGCACGTGCGCGATTTACGTATTATATGCATACGCCGGAAGTGAGGGCGTAATTTCGTGTAATCTTTCAATTTGCGACACTTCTTCTCCCCACCTTTCGTAAATGTATATATATATATTTTTTTAAACCAGAATAACCGCCATATCCTTCTTTATATCATCATGCAACACAATTGTGCAAGGACATATTGTAGATCAGATTGACGCAAGGATAATAGAAGTTTTCTTTCTTTTCTTATTCTTCTTTTTATTAGGGAAGAATAATAGTCGTAGCCTCTATAATCAAGCTGTACGATTAAGAGCGAAAATATTCGAGGTGAGTTTGAGCAAAAATACGTTAATTTATTAAGATTCGTTACACTGTGTGGGAATAATATCAACGTTCAAACGAAAAAAAAAAAAAAAAAAAAGAAAATGGACGTTTGACGCTTATAAAACGTGTTTCCTTATTCTTCTTCAAACACATCGTGTATCTAGAACACGGTTTAAATGGATTATTTGCAAAAATCGAGACGAATTACATTGTTCGAAATTTGTATCATTATGGAATTATATGTTCGAAATATAAACTCCCATTAATTTTGCATCAATCCAACTTAATTCTTAATTTACTTCTAATTTTCTTCTCTCTTTCTTTCTTTTTTCGAAGCTTTTCTTTTTTTAAACATACCTGACCTTTCCCTCCTTTCTCAACCACGTTTTTCGTCTCTATATTTTTTTTCCTCCTTTTATTTATTTATATCTCATGTTCGCGCATTTAGATCACTCGCCTATTCGTGCTATTCGTCACAACACGCACAATCGTTATAATACACATAGGCGAGATGATACGTAATTTAATATTATTATTGTTACGCAGGTCCCTCGTAATGGAAAAAGGGAAAGATCGCTATACATAATAATTTGTTTTTTTTTTTTTTTCCTTTTCTCTTTTTAATATTATATTTAGCGCGCGGGCGCGCGTAACGTATTTACAAAAAGAAAAGAGAAAAACGAGCCCGCGCGACAACACAAGTTTTTAAGGTACGTAAATATATATATATATATACATATATGTATATGTGTATTATTTACGTGTATGTGTACAATAGTGATACAACATTGCGATGTAGAGGTATACACGATAGATGGTTTTACTCGATAATATTTTATTTATTCGTTTCTTCTTTTATTCGTAATATTAATTAATTAGTTAATTTTCTGACGTAATATAAAATGTTCGTTTGGACGTTCTTCTTGATAGTTTAAAGAAATATATAAATATTTTTTTTCAATCAGTTATATAATAAATTAATATTTAATTCTTTTCCTTTATGTTATATTTATGCACCAAATATCGATTTACAAAGTGAGTTTATATTTTAAAAAAATACTTATTGCAATAATAATTAATAATTGAATATATTTATCCAATCTTTGACAATATTTTTTTCTTTTCGCGAGGATATTAAAAAAAATTCACGAGAAAAATATTTCTCGATGATGATGCGATTTTCATACGATTTTCACTCAAATATTATCAACAGTAATAGCGAACACTTCATATTATTGAAATGAAATAAAATTTTTTTTCTATGTATACATATACATATATATATAGGATTATTATATGTATAGAACAATTACTTGCATGATATAAATATATTAGATTATATCACGTGTATAATGTTATATGCATATTACATGTACAACTTGTAACACGATATAACATTACACAAGTCGTTATGATACAGTACGATATTAAATTATACATAAAGAATATACTATATATATATATATATACGCAGAGAACTAGTGTAGAGAAGTATTAGAATTTCTACGTTCTATACACCCTATTCTAACCTCTATCGTTTACGAAAAATAGGGAAAATATTCGTTGTACTATGCGAAAATACTACGAACGACGTGTTTGAAATAAATTCGCGTGTAAAAAAAATCACGCGGTACAATTAATTATGAGAAACTCTTAGTTAGAACGTATGAAATAATTATATCTTTATTATATCTTAAGAGGCTTGACAACGCTTGCTCGAATTTATTATTTATCGTTTACGAGGGATACAATATATTCCGATACTTCTGCTACAACAATCTCTGCCCGTATTATACTTTTAAGATATATTTAAACAATTGCAATGTTTAACTGTAACGTATGTACACACACTCGTCGTAGAAAATTCTAGAAATGATCGATAATTTTCGATAATCGAAAATATTAAAATGAAGGAAAGAGTTTTTTAATTTTTTTTTTTCTTCTTTTTTCCTTTTTTTCCCGATGCAATGATAAAAACTTTAATAAAACAATCTTACATATATCACAAATCTCTGAATTTGCGGAAATCAGTTTCGTTTCATCGATCATCGACGTTGCAGTATCGTTTAACTAGCTAAAAGATCGTTTGTTAAATGGAGGCCAGCTCATAGAAACGAAATTATCAATGCTAGTGTATACAAGATGTGTCGTGATGAGTGGGCAATATCGTGAATAAAGTGAAAAGTGAACGGAAGAAAAAGTTGAAAAGTTGAAAGAAAAAGTGATCATTTCAAGTTTCGTGTAACAAATTATTATTAAAGGAAAGACAAAGAGAAAAGATCTACTATTGATAAACTATTTTGTTTCCACAGAAAATAATAATGCATGAAAATTAATATCGATAAAAATCTTATTAGCCTTCATTCTTTTCTTCGATTCATTTTTCACTTTTCACATTCATTTCGAAATCGAAAAATCATCTCAATTTATATCGTTAATTTTTAAGACGTAAAAATATTCCCCACTTATCACGAAATATCCCCTGTACATTTATATGTGTACAATTATCTTAATATCACGAGATAAAATTTTAAAATTTTCGTCTCTATTAACGAAGGGAAAAAACGAAAATCTGCCATACACCCTACACCCTAAAAAAATACAAGGTAATAATTCCTAATTCCTACCACGCTGCTTTTTCACTCGAGTGTATACACTCTATTTATCGAGATTAGGGACGATCTACGCACGATTCGCGTTACGAATTTTCACGAGAACGAGGGGGAGAGGGGAGAGAGGAGAGGGAGGGGAGGGATAAAAACTCGAAAGTTCAGGCACTGTGAAACTCAAAGCACTCATTTCGACGATTTCGAGGGATGCGACGAACGAACAGCGTTCAAGGATTTTGACTCCTGTTTCCTTTTTTTTTTTTTTTTTCTTTTCATCATACAAATTATTCTAAACTGAAACTGAATGTTGTGCATTCGGTTTCTTTCATCGAACCAACATCGAATCTGCTGCTTCGATCGATGCATTGGTTAGATTAGAATCATTTTCGAAAGCCTTGGGCTGATCGTTTGCCACGTATATTCCGGCGGAAATCGTCCAATATTTTTCGAATCGCGCGCCGACGACACGTTTCGTTTTCGCGGCATCTCTGAGTATTGACGAGTAGGTACGAAAATGCGATTTGGACACGAGCGTAAAATTTAACGAGCCTCTTAAATTTTTCCGTTTCGTTTCTTTCTTCGAGACCTTTTTTTCTTTCCTTTTTAATAACGATCTTTATATTAAGTAAGAAGAAGGAAATCAAAAATGTTGTACGATTCACACGATTTCGGATACACTTCTTTTTAATTTAATTATTTATTCAAACTTTTGTACACGTTTCTCAAGCTTTATCGAACAGAGTTTAAAAGAATCACGATCGAAGTTAAAATTAAAATATAACGAAGATTTTAAATACGATTGATTGATATAATCGGTATAAATATCCTAGATGTTTAATTATATAGGAGGTGTAAAATTTTGCATTTGTTTCGAGAGAACAATTTCGAAGGACTCGTGAAGCTTTACGTGCGAATCTCTGACGCATGGTAGTTAAATAGTTAAATATGCATATATGTATGTACATAATAGATAATAGGAATGTTAAGGTAATTACCTAAATATTGCACGACTCTCCATCAAATCGAATCAAACGAACGAGATTCGAACAGAACCTACGTACAAAACTAAGTTCATAAAAATACACAGATATGTAGCATGTCCTCGAGATACGAATCGTTAATCATTTATGACCAATGATTGGCGAAAAGAATTCTAAACCGAGCTAACTAACTAAGCATCCTAAATACGATATTCGATATTAAAAATTATAAATATCAAACCTGTATAAAATTTCTGATTCTTTACAACGATTCAAATCAATGGAAAAAAATTCCTTGCCCCTAAGATCAACGTTATTAAAACTATCATCGACTCGAAGTGATAAACAATTCGTAATAAAGAATCAAAAATATCGACCATGATGATATGGAGATGTGATGATTATGGATATCAATTAATTCGCAACAGTACCAATATACATCACGCATTAAGGGGGGAGGCTGGCGTCTCCCCCTTATATACACGTCATCTATACAATTACCTACGTGAAAGCCTCCATAGATGCTAATTTGTCGCCTTAATTAGTGATATGCTTGCTTCCGTTTTCAGCAATTGAAAACACGAACGAAAAAACGAATAAAAACTAAACGATTTTGCCGATCTTGGTGGCAAACGCGCAAATACGAGGGCCCTTGCTGAGGAGAAGCCTCCCGTTGCGATTGTTTATCCTTTTCCTTCTTATTGTTATTCTTATTCTTCTTAAATTCGATCCTTGACATTTATCCATGATATTCTCATTATTTCTCTTTCGTTTCGTTTCGTTTCATCGAAATGTCACGCTCCTATGCGTCGATACGTCATGTTTTCCAATCACAGATGACGATTTCGTTTGTATATCCTCGATATTTCTCCGACAGCTATCCATTTGCTATGATCTGATTCTTTTCGATACGTCGTCGAAAGAGTTTGCAAAGTGTCTTATCGTGTTTCGTCTCTCTTCAAAAAATATAAAATAAAATTCGAAAGGGAAAGAAGAAGAGATATTGATCAACAATTTTCACACCGATGATTTATCGATCGTTGAATTGAATTGAAAAGAAACGTGGATAGATAATTTATTAAAAGGATTGAAAATAAACACTCGTCTCCCTTCGATCAATATTTTCAATCTTTAATTTCGAATCAAGAAACGTAACAAGACACTAATCAAGAACGGTCATTATCACTTCGTTGTTGAAGTAACCGTTCTGGAAATAGTCGTCTGTTTCGATAACGATCGTACGAGGAGGACCGAGGCGAGTCGGTGTTGATAAAAATCACAGAAAGTGAACAAGAGAACAACTCGTTGCTTTCGTAAGACTCTCGAGATAGAAAGAGAGAGAGAGGGAGAGAGGATCGATACCTAATGCGAGGGATAATAATATTCTTGACAAGTGGAAGCCTATCTCGAAGACTATTTCGCGATGGCGGCGTGCATAATCCGATGACGAATCCAATCACGAATCGCGTTAATACATCCCTTGCCTGAACGGATTGCTATCGCCAGAGGGCTTCTGATCGACATTTCCAGGCCTCCTGAACGGATTCACGTCTACTTGACCTCCAGCCTGGGGCTCTTGCTGGGAGTACGGCCTCTGCTGGGAGTACGCCATAGGCTGTTGGCCCATGTAATTGGCCGGTTGTTGCTCGTACACAGGCGGTTGCTCGTAACCGGTGGATGGCTGAGTATATCCAACCGCGTTAATATTCTGCCCGTAACCGCTCTGATCGTAATTCTGGCCAGCTTGGTAATTCTGATCCACGTAGCCTTGATCCACGTTCGTCTCCATACGCGTCTGGTTCAAATGGTTGCCCACCTCGCCCGAGAGGGGCCTCTGCTCCTGCAACACGTACGTCTGGTACTCTTTGTCGGGCGGGTTTTGCATGAGGACGTCTGCCTCGTCCTGGAACGGCTTGAAGTCGTAGATGTGCCTCAAGTACATGAGCACGGGCGCGTAGAGGAGGTTGGAGAAGGCTATGCCGATGTTCAAAGCCGTGAAACCGATCGCCTCGACGACGCCACCAGCTATGATAGGCCCCACAGCGTACGCCACGCTGTACGAGATGTCGGCTATGGCGTATATGCTCCCGTAGACCGAGACGTATCTCACGTCGACCAGGTAGCCAAGAGTGGGGAGCAGGGCCGTGTCGATCAACGCTATCCCGAAACAGATGCCGCACAACGGGATCATGAGGGCGCCGTAGCTGCTGCAGAACGGTATTATGAAGCAGCACATGCCCTCCAAAGCTAGGCCCGATGCGGCCATCAGCCACTGTTGTTGGGGATACTGCTTGGCCATCTTCACGGTGATCATCACCCCGAACACGTGGGGGAAGAAGGCCGGCAACCAGATCATCCCCATTTTCCAATTGTCCCTGGTTATGTTATCCTCCATCCAAAGGGAGATGGTAGGCTCGAGGAAGGCCAACGCGACGTTAGACATCATCAGAGCTCCCGCGCACACGGCTATGTACGGGTCCATGAGCAGCCGCCAAATAGGTATCGTTTGACGCATCTCCCCTTGCCTCTGCTTCACTTGCTCCTTGATCGGCTTCATCACGAGGAGGAGCATCACGCCGTCCGCCAGGCTGATGAAAGCGAGGATCAGAAAGGGGACCTCTTTGCCCGCGAATTGGTAGAGGGCGCCGCCGAACGGTGGCGCCACCAGGCAGCCGAAACTGATGAAGGCCAAGGCGATGCCCAGGGCCTTCGATCGCTCCGCCTCCTCCGTGTAACGGTCCGCGATCATTGCCAGGCCGCTGGTGTCGGCGAACGCTGAGCCAACTCCCTGCAAGCTTCTCGCGAAGAAGAGGACCCCGTAGCTTCGGCCGCAAGCGAAAACTGCGGTGGACAGGAACATGATGCACAATCCTATCATCATGGGTATGTCGTAACCGATCCTGTCTATCAACGCGCCCGAGAACGGGTTCACCATCAGCTGTACTATGGCCTTCGAGGCGAACAACACACCCGTGGCTGAATCTTGGCCGTGGTGGGACGGCGTGTCCGTCGTGTTCACCTCGTCCTCGACATCGCCGAACGCGCCCACGTATTTCAGGTAATCGGGTATGATAGGCACTATCACCATGTAAAGCATGTTGTCGAGCAGCAACGCTATCGAAACTATAATCAGTACCAACTTTCGCTGAGCCTTAGGCTCCTGCAACTTGGCCCACACTATCTCCTTGAGCTCGCTCAGCTCAATGTTGAGTATCGGTATGGTCGTCATGGTGGCCGATCTATGTATCTCTCTTTCTCTTCCTTAACTGAGCAGGGACGTCCTCCAGCGTCTAGCGAGAGGGGCTAAATCACGCGATCACTTGATGCGACCTTGGGAGTGATCGTGACGAAGGAATCGTCGCGATTGGGGCGGCGCGCATCAGGCCGGGCCGGGGGCAACCTACAACAGATCACCGAATTGGCACGGTTAACTCGATCGAAATCATCGCGCGGATATGTTTTTTTATATAATTTTTCTTTCTCTCTTTCTTCCTTCCTTCCTTCCTTTCTTTTCCTCTCTCTTTGATCTTTCTCGCATTTTTTTTTTTTTTTTTTACTTCAAATTCTAATTCATCAAATCATCGATACGATTCTTTCTCTCGTGAACAATGTTTCATGTGGGCCAATAGCAAGAATTTTCTTTTCTTTTTTTTTTTTTTTTTTTTTTTTCCTCTCTTTTTCGAGAAATCGGAGAAGGAAAGGGGAGCCCTGACCCGGCCTGATCGGTTTTACACCGATTTTCGTTCAACCCCAAAACCCAACCCGACTTTTCGCGATCGTCGTGGAGACGAGAGTCAGTCATCTTCGCACACCGATGATTTCGTTTGTCGCTCCGTCGTTTCTCATCGACGCGCAGTCGATTTCCTTCGCTTTTGTGGCGGGTATAGAAGTGAACATGACACCGGGTGGAGGCTCCCCCTCGACAAGGCAGCACGATCTGTACCCAGGCTACCTATATGCCTGGTACTGCGTATCGTGTTACGAAGAGATAAAAACACGGGGGTCTCGGCGGCGAAACGAGGGTGAAGGTCGAGTTGGTGGATGGTATGGCTTTATTCTATAAATGGGGTGCGTGGTGTAATTATTTAACGAACCTTGCTGGTCAAGGAAAGAAAACAACAAATGGGAAAACAAATCTTGCGTGTATTTTCGCTCGAAAATATTATAAGATCCGAAAAGGTAAAAATCGTAAGAATTGATTCAAAGTTACACGAAGAATAATTGATAAGAGAGAAAAGTGTTTCAAATTGTGTATTATATATACACACATTACGTATTGTTTAAAATAAATTAGATGCAAATTAGTCGAGCGTGACGCGTTCGAAAGCACAGTTGTACCTATCCGTACCTCGAGAATGGAACGGATTAATTATTTCCGTTGAAACGATTCATTCGGTAAACTGACATCCCTCCAAACATCGTTCGATGCGTGTCCGCACCCTCGTTTATTAATTACGATGACTGGGGACGCCGCGCGGGGACGCCGTTAACTTCGTCAACGATCGTCAACGAGGGCCTCCATGGACGTGGCGTGCACGAGGAAGGGGAAAATTCGTAAACTTACCGGAGTTATTGGCGAATTTCTGCCTGAGGGAACTGGCGAGGCGTTGGGGACCCGCCAAACTAGGAAGTCCGGCGAACAAACTGCTCAGTTTGGAGGCGACGTCCGGTCCGACCTCGGCCCTCGAGCCGTTCACCGACTCCTTAGCTTCTTGCGTCCCCGGGCCCTCCACCTTTTCAGCCGAATTTCTAACCGAGCCTGAAACAAATTTCCTTCGTCGTGGATTGAATTATTCGAGAGGGGAGCCTAATATTAACAACCGTGTCTGAATAATAATACGAATTGGAGAATTGTGATGCATCCCAATGGAAGCTTCTTTTTTATAATTTGGAAAATTTGTTTGGAGCAATACGTGATGGAATTACACGAATCAATTGCAACAATTGAAATATTTTTTGAGGAGTCGAAAAAAAAAAAAAAGAAATTTCGATCGAACTCGTGTCCTCTGTTGACTTAATTATTATAAGGATGTGCTAGTTCTAGGATACATTTATTAGTTTTTCATTATCCAAAATAATATTTCTTTTATTCTTCGTTTTCAGCACTTGAGGAATAAAGTATTTAAAAAGGAAGCATATAAAAGTTTTCTTTCCTTAGTAAATTTCATCAAAGAAAAAATTGCAAAATCGAATGATTTTAACGTGAACAGTAGAATAGTGTCGCGAAATTGGAAACACGTTAAAAATGATAATCACGGATACCGGGAAAGAAGAAAAGAAAAGAAAAAAAAAAGGAAAAGTAATTTCCAGGGAAGTAATCAAAAAGTTGTCGGTCTTTAGCGTGTTCCATCTATAGCGTGCAGGCAATAATTTTGTCCATCTCTTCTACGAAACCGACACAATTTTTCCTAACCTATCTATTATCTTATATACGCGTCCAACTCCCTGACCAATCTATATTTAGAGTTTAAACATCTATCTATAACAGTCCCTATCCTCTATACATATATCCTCACGTCCCAAGAAGAATGCACATGTGCCCGACTTCCCAAGGTAATTTCCCATCATTTGCCATTGTAGCAATATCATTATTTTCAACAGTATCGTTCGGTGATCTTATATTATTATTCACCGTCCACCGTCCGTTTAACGTTCAAACAAAACAACCGTTTTTCGATCAATTTTCCAACGATTTCGAATTTATTCCTTTTTTCCTCCCCCTAGAATTCTATATTTCGAATAATACATAACACCTTACACGATATATTACATAATATCTCTCGTTCCAACCGACATAAAAGTCCTCGAATATACTATATATATATATATATATACATACTACATATATATATATATATATA